ATCATATATCTTTATTGTTTCATCCCAAGAACAGTCAGCCACCTAGAAAAAACAAAACCAAAGTAAGAGGAAACATAATTAGATGTATAAAAATTCATAATTGGAAGTATTGCCTAAGTCATTTATTCGCTAAGTATGTCTTTAAAAAGGTAAAACACAAAAGCTTTTAAAAAATAACTATTTCATTTTATTTACTATTATTATTGTTGTTGTTGTTTTTAAACATGATATAGGCACTCACCAGAGAGAGAGAGAGAGAGAGCAAAAGAGAAAGAGAAAGTGAGAAAGCAAGCCACTAGGTCTGGGACTCGAACCATGGTTGGCCATGTGGGAGTCTAACGCCTTAACCACCACACTGCCTGCTGGTCCCCAAATGTAAGTTTTTAATAAAAGGTCAATTTTTCCTTTTAGGTGCACTTCAGGGATTGATTTAAATTGCCCACAAGGATTTCTCCCACCTCATCCTACTCAAGAGCTATATAATTCCCAACTTCCTGAAGTAAATGCTGCACTGATGCATCCCTAGATTGTGAACCAAGGTATTGTGGGGAAAGAGAAGAAAATGAAGTACAGCCCTGGCTTTCAAAGAGCAGCTTACTTAAGGCTGAGTGGGAAACGTACTCTAATGGAGACTCTCAGAGGAGGGACTACATGATTCTAATTGGGGCACTGTCAGTTGACTTCACAATGCTATGGCATTCACACTGGCCCTTTTTAGGAGGCAGACATGAAAGACAAAGACATTCAAGTGTAAAAAGTCATATAAAAACATGAAGGGAAAAAAGTCCACGGTGTTCAGGAATTGCATATTAACAACTTAAATACAGCAATGTTTCAGGGTATAAGATTAATATTTAAAAATCAATTGTATTTCTATATACTAGCAGAAAAAAGATTTAAATAAATATTTAAAAATCAGTTTACAATAGCACCAAATAACAAAATACTTAGTAATAAATTTTTAAAAAATCACTTTTCCGTTTCTGTTGAAAGGCCTGCTGGGAGTATGAATTATTTGTAAATTACTTTGGATGGAATTAACTTCGTAACAATAATGAATCTTCAGTTTAAGAACATGGTATATCTCCCTACTATTTAGGACTTTTAAAATTTCTGCAATGTTTTATGGTTTTTAGTATGGACATGTTACGTGCCTTTTGTTATTTGGGAGAGGTTTTTGCTATAGGGCACGTGCATTCGCCAGACAGACAGACAGACAGAGACAGAGAGATAGAAAGCGAGAAATCACCCCCCGGGGGGATGGCCACGCTGCAATCCCTTCTCCTCCATTCTCCTCTCGGGATCTTGGGCACGCACGCACACGCGCCCGGTGTGAGTTTTAAACCACTGGGTCCAGGACGCAAACCATGGTCGACTAGATGGGAGTCCAGCGACATAGCCATTACACTAACTGCTGGTGCCAGGATAAAGTGATTTTTAAAATTTATGTGGAAAGGCAGAGGACCTAGAATAACCAATCCTGGGGGACGGAGGAACAGCTCTAGTTACATGACCTGACTTCAAGACTTAGAATATAACTGAAGTAATCAAGACACTACAATATTAGTTGTAAGATTACACAAGTAAGTCAAAAGAACACATTAGTTCAGGAATAAATTCTATACTTGGACAAATGGTTTTCAACAAAGGTACCAAAACAGTTTAATGGAGAAGAGAAAGGTTTTTTTGTTGTTGTTGTTGGTTTTATTTTTTTGGAGAGGTTTTCGCTATAGGGCGCGTGCGCTCGCCAGACACAGAGAGACAGAGAGACAGAAAGCGAGAAATCACCCCCCAGGGGGGATAGTCACGCCGCAATCCCTTTTCCTCCATTCTCCTCTTGGGATCCTGGGCACGCACACACACGCGCCCAACGTGAGTTTTAAGCCACTGGGTCTAGGACGCGAACCGCGGTCGACCACGTGGGAGTCCAGCGACATAGACATTACGCTAACTGGTGGTTCCCAAGAAGAGAAAGTTTTTTCAACAACCGGATATATATAACAAAAAAGAATTTTGATCCTAAATTCAATCAATAGAAATTAATCTGAAAAGAGCCATAAACCTGACTACAAGAAAATACAGGACACCATATTGTCAGTCTGGAGATAAGTACAGATTTCTTAAGGCACAAAAAGGAATAAAAATAACAGCAGATGGCATAATGACTATTTTGCTGGACTCCCACATAGCTGACCATGGTTTGAGTCCTGGACCCAGAGGCTTAAAAGTCATGGTGCATGTGTGTGTATGTGGCCAAAATCCCTAGAGGAGAATGGAGGAGAAGGGATTGTGGTGTGGCCATCCTCCCTGGGGGTTGATTTCTCGCTTTCTGTCTCTTTCTATTCCTGTCTCTTCATCGAGCACATGCGCCCTATAGCAAAAATCTCTCCAAAAAAGATTAAAAAAAAGCCAATAACCTCAAAAAAAGTATAAATTGGGAACCAGCAGTTGGCGTATGGCTATGTCACTGGACTCCCACCTAGTCGACTGCAGTTCGCATCCCAGACCCGGTGGCTTAAAACTCACGCCAGGCGCGTGTGCGTGCGTGCCCAAGTACCCGAGAGGAGAATGGAGGAGAAGGGACTGCGGCGTGACCATCCCCTCTGAGGGGTGATTTCTCGCTTTCTGTGTCTATGTCTCTGTCTGTCTGGCGAGCGCACGCGCCCTATAGTAAAAACCTCTCCAAAAAAAAAAAAAAAAAACGTATAAATTAAGCTAAATAAAAAATAAAACTGCTCATCAAAAGACATTATTAAGAAAATAAACAGACAAGTCACAGGTAGGGTAAAATATTCATAAAACATACATCTTTACATCTGACAACTTATATCCAAAATCTATATAAAAAGAAGTACTGTTACTCAATAATAATAAGATGGCCCAATAGAAATGATGGCCAATATACAACATTCTAAGAAATATTTTGAAATTCAGTATTCTGAAATTTTGAAATCTGTCTATTAAGTGTCAAGAACTATGGAGCATGAGCAAAAATGTTTTGATATGTAAAGTAAATGTTGTGGAGAAATGTAAAAATAATATATAAATGGGGGGGGGGGGGGAGAAGAAATGATGACCAAAATAATTTACCACTGTACCACCATTTGGCACTCACTGGGCAAAATAGTTTGATAGAAAATTCACGAAAAGATATATAAATGACCAATAAACACATTCAAATGTGTTTAACATCATTAGGCATCAGGGATATATAAGTAAAATCACAGTGAGATATTACTATATATTCATTAGAATGGTTAAAATTGAAGATAGACTCTTTCAAATGGAAGCAGGGATGTAGAGCAGCTGTAATAACTGTCATTTAGTACAACTATTCTGGAACAACCATTTGACTACTTCTTATCAAAATAAAACATACATACATATACCTATCTTTTGACTCAGTAATTTCACTCTCAAATATTTATACAAAAAAAGTGTTTACCAAACAATATTTACAAGAATGTTTATAGCAACTTCATTTACTATAGCACAAAACTGAACAACTAAAATATCCACTGGCAAAAAAATAGATAACAAATTGTAGAAAGTTTATAGAGTAGAATTCTGCTCAGCAATACCAAAGCGGCTAACAGGCTCAATAACATGGATGAATCTCACAGATCGGCTGATGAAAAAAAGCCAGAAAGAAAAAAAAAAATATATATATATATATATGAGATTCCCTTTTCTAAGTCCTAGAACAGAAAAAAAAAAAATCCACTAATCTAAGGTATTAAAAAACTCAGAACTAAGTCAGAACAATGGTATTTTTTTCAGTTGGAGTTAGGGGTAGGGAA